CCCCAAAACCCCAAAACCCCTTAGATATTTATAGAGGAATATAATCAGATAGATAGATTTAATAATCCAAAAACTTAATTCGACCAGATTAATAAAAACAAAAAGTGACAAATCTCTTCATTATTGCTTTGCTCCTATCATAGCAGCAGCAATTATGCCTAGATTATTCTCTAAACTTGGTTTGACAATGAAAGATCGAAGTGCCTCAACAGATGCAAGTCTTGGATGCTTAATATACCCATTTAAAGACTCAAAGCAGTGCTGACGTATCTTATCATAAAGAATCTCTCTGTTCATTACTCCTCCACCTATAACAATCTTCTAAGCACTCATAGTAAATATGAGGTTTGAGCAAGCGACGCCTAAATAGTAACCTACGAAGTCCCAGACTTTATCATCATCTCTAAACGAAAATAAGAATCTTAAATGGTTACGAAATAGTTTTGTTGTCTTCAACATCAGCTAATTCCTTTCTCCTAGCAATAGAAACATTTGTGCAAAGTCCTTCTAGGCAATTTCCATGGAATACACAGACACCTGGATAGTCAACCTCATCTTTGTGGATTGGAACTTTTTAATGTCCCCCTTCAGGATGTACTAGGCCATGCATCATCTAGCCATTCAAAACAACTCCGATTCCAATACCTGTTCCAACTGTAATATAAATTAAGTTCCCATTAGCATCCTTATGGCCTCCATAGTCAGATTCGAATTGAGCCACAATATTTACATCCGTATCAAAAGCTACTTTGAAGCTATCTGATTTATTCTTAATGCCGCTAAGTATTAAGCCTAACAAATTGAAATTTTGCCATTCAACTTTCGGAGTAGTTGTTACATAACCATAGTCATCTTGGGATTTATCCAATCCAATAGGCCCAAATGAAGCTATTCCAACTGAGTTATAGATGTATGAGAATGAATTAATGAAGTCAATGATCTCTTAAATAGTATCCAATGGTCTCCTTGTATTGACAACTTGAGAATGGACAATATTTTCTGTGCCAAAGTCTCTCATGATTCCAACTTTGCAGGATGTCCCACTATTTCAAATATAAATTCAAATAACAATACCCTGTTTCAATTCCAATGTGATAGGTATGACTTTCAGTGCCTTCCATTCTTTATGATATAAAGATTTTGATAAAAAAATACAATTTATATAATTAAATTACTTGGATATTTTCCATCATGGGGTTTTGGGGTTTTGGGGTTTTGGGG